CGATCTGTGCCCTACGGATCACCCGCAGCGCGAGGGCTCGCATACTGAAGGCCGGCGGAGAAGTACTGACTTTCGACGAGTTGGCGGTGCGATCGCCGAGGGGTGAGAACACTGTCCTCCTTCAGGGCCCGCGTAATGCTCGCGAGGCGTGCAAACACTTCGGTCGGGCGCCGGGAGTACCGCACAGCCACACCAAACCGTACGTGCGCTCGAAGGGACGTAAGTTCGAGAGGGCTCGCGGTAAACGTGCCAGTCGTGGCTACAAGGCCTGAGGCACTCATTGACGCCATTTATATATTAATTGATTTAATTGAATGTTTGAAATAAAATTGATTCACAAAAATCTGTGCTTTTATTGTAATTCATTTCAAATGACATATAAATATGGGCTAAAAGTTAGCGATTGTGTAAAAAGTCTATAAATAGGATAAGTTGTGATCAGTTTATGAAATACTCGTTTTGTTGGAAAGTGATGTCTGTGTCCAGTGTTTGGGTTCGTATGGCGTTAATGAAAGCGGTTTCCTGTTGTAGAAGAGCCGCGTCCTGTTGGCCAGTAATCTGCCAAATGAGTAGAGCCCTATCGTCCGGCAGTCCTGACCATTGGTTGGACCCGTAAAATGATGGCACGTTTGCCATGTCTTGCAAAGAGGTTCTCGTCATTCCATTCAGTTTTACTATTTGTATCAATGAATCAAATTTTAGTGAAATTATATATAAATTGCTATATTTGTTGAAAACCTCTATTGAGTCCCGAAGAGCACAGATTACAGACTATATTATCTTTGGTCTCTTTGATGAAATCCAATTCCTGTTCAACTTTAGCCTTCATTTTATTCATTTTCTCCTCCTCTGCCCTCAATTTAGTGAAACTGTTTTCAATGAACTTGAGTTTGGAGTCCAACTCAACGCGGAACTTCTCGGCCTCATCCATAGCCATATGTCCCTCGCGTTTCTCATGCAACGCGATTTCGCCCAAACTCTCCAACTCTTCGGCTCTTTTGGCGATTTCTTGGGCCAAGTCTTGCATTTTGACTCTTTCGATGTCGAACAACAGTTTCCTCTGTTCCAGAGAGTGCTGTTCGCTCTGCAATGAGATCCTCGTGTGATGTAGAGATGACTCCTCTCTGTGTATTTCATTTCTTTTCTCTTCTATATCTCTAAACAATTGCTTTATTTCTTGTCTCTCTTTATTGAGATTCTGTTGTGAATCNAACACATCACAACACATATCAATCAATACATACCAATCGGTTGAGCGAAATCGGCGGACGATTTGTTTTACTCATAAACAGACGCTTTAAGACAATTTTGTTGAACTTCTGACCAGTTCGTCGGGCCAGGAATCGATACAACTGTCCATTTGGGTCAACACATCATTACATTACATGGCATTCAATGGGAACACGTGTTATGACACTATGACATACCCGGACCAATAGCAACAAATACGGGTCTTTGCTCTTCGGCGCCGTTCGCCGCACTTTGCGGTCATTCTTGTGGTTGATGTCAATACCCTATTATCACCACAAAGAGTGGTTAATATCATTAAATCGGTGTTTAATTGGATTAAATCGACGCCAATCTACTCACCATTTTCGCAGTTCAGCTCAAAAAGGAGGGACTAATGTGTGATTGCACTCAGACTTCACTGCACTCTCCAAACCACACAATGTATGCATCGATTCGCACATCACTTCCGCATCCGATTATTACTGAACGACCCCTCAGTTCACGGCAAAAGTGAATGCCTTTTTGCAAATCTGTCCATAGATTACGTGTCACACCATTTGAGTCACCCTTTAGTCCCCTGTCATAGGAATTGTCAATTAAAATGTCAATTCCTGTGAAAGAGTCAATGGATTGTGAATTATGTGTCAAATGTATGAATGAATGCATGAAAGTAGAGAATATTCTGATCACTCAAACGATAAGTGTATCTAATATTACAATTGGTTTATAATTTGATCGAAAATGTAATTTAAGTTTTTACTCGTAAAATACGAACTTGATTCTTGATAAACATCAGGGTATTCCAGGTTTAGGCATTCAGTATATAGAATTATGATAATATTTTATATAATTATAAGATATTTTACATGTAATGAAATTTTGACCTGGTGTCAAATACTTTATTCTGTATAAGATTAAAAATATAAGTCTCAATGAAAATATAAAGTTTTTTCATTGAATTGATAGATTCTATATAAACAACAATTATTGTGCCAATTATTCTGTACCTATGCCTCCCATCCCTTCCCTGACATTAACAGCAAAACTTTGTGCTAATTATGAAGGAATGGCAGTAAATGTAGAGAATATAATGTAAAGTGAATCAATTATAAGAGACATTATGTGCGCACAGGTATTGTGATTGCGACACAGGTTTTACATTTATTTGATGAACATTTGTATTATAATATCCAACAAATGATTCATTGTTGGCAGCTATAAAAACACCGCAAAGTAATCATTGATTACACAATATATAACTCACACTTATATTGCATTGGAAAACGGGTCAATTCCTTAAGAATGTATGATTGTGCCTTGCTTATCAGAGACAAACTGACACCTATTACCTTAATATTTTATGAATATATAAAGTACAGCAATGATCAATTAGTGTGAATAGTGGGCCAATTCTATGAAATAGATATTTTAAATTTTAATATTTCTAGTTTATAATCGTTGGTATAATTATAAATTGAAATGCAAGATAGTCTGATTCAATAGGATGATGTGAATGACATTGAAAATGAGCAAGGTGCAGTAGAATATGCACAGGAATGGCATAGCAATGGGCCGAATGTGTTGAGTGGAGAACCACTGCATTGTAAGCAAAGCATAGCATTGAATGAGCAGTGAATTGATTTGAGAGTTGTTTTGGTTTTTTGGGTGTTTTTGACGCGATTTTCACTGATTTGTAATTAAATGTGAATTACTTTTGACTACATTTTCGGTGATTCATATTAATAGTGCTTTCATTGGCTCCCAATTGACAACCAATACAAACACTATATATATTCACAAATTGATACAAATACTAATTGAAATAAATTGCAATAAATAAATATTAACTGTAAGTAAATAAATGTTTTGATTAACAAAACGATTGAATTACTGTTAAATGAAAACATCTAATAATATGTGATTTGTTTCAGAGATATAGCCATCGGATGACAAATATTCACATCAAATGCCATCAATGAATGAAAACCAATGCTAACCAATGGTTCGCACGGATTGTGCTGTCATTTCATCAGTCATCCAATGATTTGTTTGTTTTGATTATATATTTGACACAAATTGTTATGAATTAAGGGATCAATCGATTGCCAGAAGAGAGAGAGAGAGAGAGAGAGAGAGAGAGCGCGCGAAGACATCGGCGATGAACTGCCATCAGGTGCTGACCGGAGCCGTCAATTCTGGCGACAATTGCTATAGTGTTGGCTCTGTTGAGGGCATTCCGTTCGTGGCCTACAGTTCCGGCTGTAATGTACCCTGAAGGAGGACAGTGTTCTCACCCCTCGGCGATCGCACCGCCAACTCGTCGAAAGTCAGTACTTCTCCGCCGGCCTTCAGTATGCGAGCCCTCGCGCTGCGGGTGATCCGTAGGGCACAGATCGTCAGTTTGGGCACCGAATACATGCGCACGTCGTCCGTCACCGTCCCGATCACGACAGCGATCTTTCCCTGTCTCTCCTTTTTACTCATTTGGATTTTCTGCACATCAGTTCATGGGATCAGTTCATGGCATCAGTTAGTCGTCAACACATCACAACACATATCAATCAATACATACCAATCGGTTGAGCGAAATCGGCGGACGATTTGTTTTACTCATAAACAGACGCTTTAAGACAATTTTGTTGAACTTCTGACCAGTTCGTCGGGCCAGGAATCGATACAACTGTCCATTTGGGTCAACACATCATTACATTACATGGCATTCAATGGGAACACGTGTTATGACACTATGACATACCCGGACCAATAGCAACAAATACGGGTCTTTGCTCTTCGGCGCCGTTCGCCGCACTTTGCGGTCATTCTTGTGGTTGATGTCAATACCCTATTATCACCACAAAGAGTGGTTAATATCATTAAATCGGTGTTTAATTGGATTAAATCGACGCCAATCTACTCACCATTTTCGCAGTTCAGCTCAAAAAGGAGGGACTAATGTGTGATTGCACTCAGACTTCACTGCACTCTCCAAACCACACAATGTATGCATCGATTCACACATCACTTCCGCATCCGATTATTACTGAACGACCCCTCAGTTCACGGCAAAAGTGAATGCCTTTTTGCAAATCTGTCCATAGATTACGTGTCACACCATTTGAGTCACCCTTTAGTCCCCTGTCATAGGAATTGTCAATTGAAATGTCAATTCCTGTGAAAGAGTCAATGGATTGTGAATTATGTGTCAAATGTATGAATGAATGCATGAAAGTAGAGAATATTCTGATCACTCAAACGATAAGTGTATCTAATATTACAATTGGTTTATAATTTGATCGAAAATGTAATTTAAGTTTTAAATACGAACTTGATTCTTGATAAACATCAGGGTATTCCAGGTTTAGGCATTCAGTATATAGAATTATGATATATACTGTAATTATAAGATATTTTACATGTACTGTAATGAAATTTTGACCTGGTGTCAAATACTTTATTCTGTATAAGATTAAAAATATAAGTCTTAAATAAAACAATGAAAATATAAAGTTTTTTCATTGAATTGATAGATTCTATATAAACAACAATTATTGTGCCAATTATTCTGTACCTATGCCTCCCATCCCTTCCCTGACATTAACAGCAAAACTTTGTGCTAATTATGAAGGAATGGCAGTAAATGTAGAGAATATAATGTAAAGTGAATCAATTATAAGAGACATTATGTGCGCACAGGTATTGTGATTGCGACACAGGTTTTACATTTATTTGATGAACATTTGTATTATAATATCCAACAAATGATTCATTGTTGGCAGCTATAAAAACACCGCAAAGTAATCATTGATTACACAATATATAACTCACACTTATATTGCATTGGAAAACGGGTCAATTCCTTAAGAATGTATGATTGTGCCTTGCTTATCAGAGACAAACTGACACCTATTACCTTAATATTTTATGAATATATAAAGTACAGGAATTATCAATTAGTGTGAATAGTGGGCCAATTCTATGAAATAGATATTTTAAATTTTAATATTTCCAGTTTATAATCGTTGGTATAATTATAAATTGAAATGCAAGATAGTCTGATTAAATAGGATGATGTGAATGACATTGAGAATGAGCAAGGTGCAGTGGAATATGCACAGGAATGGCATAGCAATGGGCCGAATGTGTTGAGTGGAGAACCACTGCATTGTAAGCAAAGCATAGCATTCAATGAGCAGTGAATTGATTTGAGAGTTGTTTTGGTTTTTTGGGTGTTTTTGACGCGATTTTCACTGATTTGTAATTAAATGTGAATTACTTTTGACTACATTTTCGGTGATTAATATTAATAATGCTTTCATTGGCTCCCAATTGATAACCAATACAAACACTATATATATTCACAAATTGATACAAATATTAATTGAAATAAATTGCAATAAATAAATATTAACTGTAAGTAAATAAATGTTTTGATTAACAAAACGATTGAATTCAATGAAAACATCTAATAATATGTGATTTGTTTCAGAGATATAGCAATCGTATGACGAATATTGACATCAAATGCTAACCAATGGTTCGCACGGATTGTGCTGTCATTTCATCAGACATCCAATGATTTGTTTGTTTTGATTATATATTTGACACAAATTGTTATGAATTAAGCGATCAATCGATTTCCAGAAGAGAGAGAGAGAGAGAGAGCGAGAGAGTGCGCGAAGACATCGGCGATGAACTGCCATCAGGTGCTGACCGGAGCCGTCAATTCTGGCGACAATTGCTATAGTGTTGGCTCTGTTGAGGGCATTCCGTTCGTGGCCTACAGTTCCGGCTGTAATGTCGTGATCCTCTCGTCGGCCCTCAAGAGAGTTCAGATAATTCCGGGCATTCTTTACGGCAATATTCAAGTCAATTGCATCGACTGCTCCACTGATGTCGGAAAGATTGGCGCCGCTTATGGCCACAAGATCTGTATCTTCGAGCCGACGCCACTTCTACAGCAGGCGTCGGCCCATAAACTCGACTACAAATGGATTCAGACGTCTTGTGTGGAGACCGAGTCAGCCGTTAGTGTCATCTCTTGGAATCTCGAGGGCAACAAACTCTTGACCGGCGGTCAGACCATCCAATTGTGGCATTTGATGACTCAAAGCACCGATTCTAACGATCAGAATGTGAAAAGCGATACGAATGAGCCGAACGCCGAGAGGGACAGGGATGTGGACCTCAGCAGTCAATGGCTGTGTGTCTGGCAGTGCACGACCTCAACGCCAGTACAGTTCCTGCAGTTCTCTCCCGACGGCACTCTGTTTGTGTCGGCCGGCAAATCGGACCGTTTGGTCAAAATATGGTACGAAAGCGCCGCCAAAAATAATCC